TTCCGAAACAGTTGTAAAATACCGCTTAAGGGTAACAATCTGTGTCTTAAGTGTTCCGGAACAGATGTAAAATACCACTAAAGGGTAACAATCTGTGTCTTAAGTGTTCTGAAACAGATGTAGAATACCGCTAAACGGCAACAATCTGTGTCTTAAGTGTTCCGAAACAGATGTAAAATACCGCTTAAGGGTAACAATCTGTGTCTTAAGTGTTCCGGAACAGATGTAAAATACCACTAAACGGTACCAATCTGTGTCCTTAGTGTTCCGAAACAGAGGTAAAATACCGCTTAAGGGTAACAATCCGTGTCTTAAGTATTCCGAAACAGTTGTAAAATACCGCTTAAGGGTAACAATCTGTGTCTTAAGTGTTCCGGAACAGATGTAAAATACCACTAAAGGGTAACAATCTGTGTCTTAAGTGTTCTGAAACAGATGTAGAATACCGCTAAACGGCAACAATCTGTGTCTTAAGTGTTCCGAAACAGATGTAAAATACCGCTTAAGGGTAACAATCTGTGTCTTAAGTGTTCCGAAACAGTTGTAAAATACCACTTAAGGGTAACAATCTGTGTCTTAAGTGTTCTGAAACAGATGTAGAATACCGCTAAACGGTAACAATCTATGACTTAAGTGTTCCGAAACAGAAGTAGAATACCGCTTAAGGGTAACAATCTGTGTGTTAAGTGTTCCGAAACAGATGTAAAATACCACTAAACGATACCAATCTGTGTCCTTAGTGTTCCGAAACAGAGGTAAAATACCGCTTAAGGGTAACAATCTGTGTCTTAAGTGTTCCGAAACAGATGTAGGATACCGCTAAACGGCAACAATCTGTGTCTTAAGTGTTCCGAAACAGTTGTAAAATACCACTTAAGGGTAACAATCTGTGTCTTAAGTGTTCCGAAACAGATGTAGAATACCGCTAAACGGTATCAATCGGTGTCCTGAGTGTTCCGAAACAGATGTAGAATACCGCTTAAGGGTAACAATCTGTGTCTTAAGTGTTCCGAAACAGATGTAGAATACCGCTAAACGGTAACAATCCGTGTCTTAAGTGTTCCGAAACAGATGTAGAATACCGCTAAACGGTAACAATCTATGACTTAAGTGTTCCGAAACAGATGTAGAATACCGCTTAAGCTTAACAATCTATGACTTAAGTGTTCCGAAACAGATGTAGAACACCGCTTAAGGGTAACAATCTATGACTTAAGTGTTCCGAAACAGATGTAGAATACCGCTTAAGGGTAACAATCTATGACTTAAGTGTTCCGAAACAGATGTAGAATACCGCTAAACGGTAACAATCTATGACTTAAGTGTTCCGAAACAGATGTAGAATACCGCTTAAGGGTAACAATCTATGACTTAAGTGTTCCGAAACAGATGTAGAATACCGCTAAACGGTAACAATCTATGACTTAAGTGTTCCGAAACAGATGTAGAATACCGCTTAAGGGTAACAATCTATGACTTAAGTGTTCCGAAACAGATGTAGAATACCGCTAAACGGTAACAATCTGTGTCTTAAGTGTTCCGAAACAGATGTAGAATACCGCTAAACGGTAACAATCTGTGTCTTAAGTGTTCCGAAACAGATGTAGAATACCGCTAAACGGTAACAATCTGTGTCTTAAGTGTTCCGAAACAGATGTAGAATACCGCTAAACGGTAACAATCTGTGTCTTAAGTGTTCCGAAACAGATGTAGAATACCGCTAAACGGTAACAATCTGTGTCTTAAGTGTTCCGAAACAGATGTAGAATACCGCTAAACGGTAACAATCTGTGTCTTAAGTGTTCCGAAACAGATGTAGAATACCGCTAAACGGTAACAATCTGTGTCTTAAGTGTTCCGAAACAGATGTAGAATACCGCTAAACGGTAACAATCTGTGTCTTAAGTGTTCCGAAACAGATGTAGAATACCGCTAAACGGTAACAATCTGTGTCTTAAGTGTTCCGAAACAGATGTAGAATACCGCTAAACGGTAACAATCTGTGTCTTAAGTGTTCCGAAACAGATGTAGAATACCGCTAAACGGTAACAATCTGTGTCTTAAGTGTTCCGAAACAGATGTAGAATACCGCTAAACGGTAACAATCTGTGTCTTAAGTGTTCCGAAACAGATGTAGAATACCGCTAAACGGTAACAATCTGTGTCTTAAGTGTTCCGAAACAGATGTAGAATACCGCTAAACGGTAACAATCTGTGTCTTAAGTGTTCCGAAACAGATGTAGAATACCGCTAAACGGTAACAATCTGTGTCTTAAGTGTTCCGAAACAGATGTAGAATACCGCTAAACGGTAACAATCTGTGTCTTAAGTGTTCCGAAACAGATGTAGAATACCGCTAAACGGTAACAATCTGTGTCTTAAGTGTTCCGAAACAGATGTAGAATACCGCTAAACGGTAACAATCTGTGTCTTAAGTGTTCCGAAACAGATGTAGAATACCGCTAAACGGTAACAATCTGTGTCTTAAGTGTTCCGAAACAGATGTAGAATACCGCTAAACGGTAACAATCTGTGTCTTAAGTGTTCCGAAACAGATGTAGAATACCGCTAAACGGTAACAATCTGTGTCTTAAGTGTTCCGAAACAGATGTAGAATACCGCTAAACGGTAACAATCGGTGTCTTAAGTGTTCCGAAACAGATGTAGAATACCGCTAAACGGTAACAATCGGTGTCTTAAGTGTTCCGAAACAGATGTAGAATACCGCTAAACGGTAACAATCTGTGTCTTAAGTGTTCCGAAACAGATGTAGAATACCGCTAAACGGTAACAATCCGTGTCTTAAGTGTTCCGAAACAGATGTAAAATACCGCTAAACGGTAACAAACCGTGTCTTAAGTGTTCCGGAACAGATGTAGAACACGGCTTTTCATTTTCATTGATTTTTTTTCTATAGAGTAACATAATTGTAATTCACTGGAACTATTTAATGTAAATTTTCGTTTGACAGCTGTCACCCAAACTAATTACCGTATTTTATTGCGTAAATGTACTTTACGACATCATAATACCTTGTTACAATAATTAGGACCTAGGCCCCGGATGTACAGATGTGTTTGGATACTGATTTCTGGAAAATCCATTAGAGAAAGTTATTGTCATAAACGTTTTTGGACCACATTCAACATCTCCAGAACGTTTACTTTTCAAATCATATACGAACGCCTTTAAAAATCAAACATAGCAAAAGTTAATAAATTTCCGTTAACATCACACTCGGGAAGCGAAACGTGTCAACGGTAAGAAATAAAATTGAATTAACTTTTATGTTTTTTACGTGCAGTAAAATATTCGAAAAATGTAGAAGCTGGAAGCCGATCAAGAGCACAATAAAGCGAAAGTATACATCGATGAAGCCTTAGACGTATGGAATGCGCTTAAGGAGGAACAAGGGTTTGTCCACCACTACGAGACTTTTACTTGACAGGTGAGAACAGAACGTTTACTCTGAAAACATGACCTCTGACCCAGTCGAGGATATTGTGACAGCTCGTGAATTCGGGTGTGAATAATTATGACGTAACATGGCCTCTTAGCCCTGCTTCGTTTCAGATAAGTAGCAGTCGTGAAAAGGCTTCACACGCCTATACTTGACACAAATATAAGTCATTGACATTTTGAATCCTTTCAAACCAATATACTTATAGTATTTAATGAATTTTACGACTGCAATTTTGACGCCAGTATTTCCGACAGATTGCGGCACAGTAACTTTAATCAAATGATTACTCCGAGATGACGGGTACTAGTTGAGAGTAGCTAGTCAACTCGTATCACCCGCAAGGGTATTGCCTGTAATAGTCTATTCATTACATGTGATAGACTTTTAAATACCTATCATATACAATGTATTACGAAATATTAGTATTACCACTCCATAGTTTACATCCACGTATACCGTTACACCGCGGAATGTATTTTCTCTATGGAAGTCCTTAATGTTTAACCATGATTTTAGGCACAAAAATACGTGGTTGACTGTTTGTCAGAACTAGCCTGATTGTAGATTTACCTGCGGACTAACAAGTGTACCCATCGCTGTCAGTTTGAGTAGTCAATATCTCTCCTCTGTATCTTTGTTTGTAGAAAAAAAAACAATTCTTTTTTATTTAATGATTTATAAGCATGCCATGTAATTGCCCGGTAGATAGACAATGTGTAGGTAAATATCTTTGTATTACACATTTATAATTAATCATTGGATCGAACAGTAAACCTAAAGCGTACATAATAGTGCGATGTTGACTTACCTATGAAGCACAGTGTCAGAACGACAATACAGAATAGAGAGGACAGGGGAGTCATAGTCCTCTGTCCGTCCTAGTTGTCCGTCCTAGTCCTCTGTCCGTCCTAAGCTGGGACGTCCGATATCAGGGCACATAGGTTCATCCCCTCCATTATAAGTGATCTTCGCCAACAGACGAAACAGCTACGATTGGACTGACTGGCCGTTTATTCAATAAACTACATTCACGTTTCTATGAACTTGGTATCCAAGGATTAAATTAAGAACTATTTCCCGTCCAAACTCCGTGTTTGTAACGGTGCCGATGCGTCTCCAGGAAACTATGGCCGTCAGGTGTGCGGTCCACTACTTCCACTATCGACCACCACACCGGCACCATCACAGTAATAGCGCAAAACGGCGCTATTTTCCCAATTAAAATTAAAATCCGTCTTATGATCAATGGCCTAACTGATGAGGGAGTGTTTGTTCTTGTCCCGCTGAGCCAGTCACGTAACGGGTACCGATCGATAACTAGACGCAAAGTAAAAGCCTTGTCAGAATAAAATATAAAATAAATATTGGAAAAGACTCATTGACATCAAAAATACGCACATAATCACAAACATAAAAAAGATAATATTGGTGATTGATGGTGTATTTATCACCAGCGGTAGTTAACACAATGGTCGACTTCAGCGTCGCGCTAGGACAACCAGCAATCTGGTTCACGTCCCCTTGTAGTACCTATACTTCTGATGATCAACATCTGACTGAACCACCAGCCGTTTCTGTGAGATGTGGCGATAATCACTCATGAGTGATGTATGACGAAAAAAGCATCAAGGATTAAGGTCTACACTATGGTACACAGCATCAGTTATTGAGGTCTACACTATGGTACACAGCATCATAGGTCTACACTATGGTACACAACATCAGTTATTAAGGTCTACACTATGGTACACAGCCACAGTTATTAAGGTCTACACTATGGGTACACGACATCAGGGATTAAGGTCTACACAGCATCATAGGTCTACACTATGGTACACAGCATCATAGGTCTACACTATGGGTACACAGCATCAGTTATTAAGGTCTACACTATGGTACACAGTATCAGTTATTAAGGTCTACACTATGGTACACAACATCAGTCATTAAGGTCTACACTATGGTACACAGTATCAGTTATTAAGGTCTACACTATGGTACACAGTATCAGTTATTAAGGTCTACACTATGGTACACAGTATCAGTTATTAAGGTCTACATTATGGTACACAGTATCAGTTATTAAGGTCTACACTATTGTACACAGTATCAGTTATCCGCTTAAGGGTAACAATCCACAGCATCAGTTATTAAGGTCTACACTATTGTACACAGTATCAGTTATTCAGGTCTACACTATGGTACACAGTATCAGTTATTAAGGTCTACACTATGGTACACTGCATCAGTTATTGAGGTCTACACTATGATACACAGCATCAGTTATTAAGGTCTACACTATGGGTACACGGCATCAGTTATTAAGGTCTACACTATGGTACACAGCATCAGTTATTAAGGTCTACACTATGGTACACAGTATCAGTTATTAAGGTCTACAATATGGTACAAAGTATCAGTTATTAAGGTCTACACTATGGGTACACAGCATCAGTTATTAAGGTTTACACTATGGTACACAGCCACAGTTATTAAGGTCTACACTATGGTACACGGCATCAGTTATTAAGGTCTACACTATGGTACACTGTATCAGTTATTAAGGTCTACACTATGATACACAGCATCAGTTATTAAGGTCTACATTATGGGTACACAGTATCAGTGATTAAGGTCTACACTATGAGTACACAGTATCAGTTATTAAGGTCTACATTATGGGTACACAGTATCAGTGATTAAGGTCTACACTATGAGTACACAGTATCAGTTATTAAGGTCTACATTATGGGTACACAGTATCAGTGATTAAGGTCTACACTATGAGTACACAGTATCAGTTATTAAGGTCTACACTATGGGCACACGGCATCAGTTATTAAGGTCTACACTATGGCACACAGCATCAGTTATTAAGGTCTACCTTATGATACACAGCATCAGTTATTTAAGGTCTACACTATGGGTACACAGTATCAGTTATTAAGGTCTACAATATGGTACAAAGTATCAGTTATTAAGGTCTACACTATGGGCACACGGCATCAGTTATTAAGGTCTATACTATGGTACACAGCATCATGTTATTAAGGTCTACACTATTGCACACAGCATCAGTTATTAAGGTCTACATTATGGGTACACAGTATCAGTGATTAAGGTCTACACTATGAGTACACAGCATCAGTGAGTAAGGTCTACACTATGGGTACACGACATCAGGGATTAAGGTCTACACAGCATCATAGGTCTACACTATGGTACACAACATCAGGGATTAAGGTCTACACTATGGTACACAACATCAGGGATTAAGGTCTACACTATGGTACACGACATCGGTTATTAAGGTTTACACTATGGTACACAGCCACAGTTATTAAGGTCTACACTATGGTACACAGCATCATGTTATTAAGGTCTACACTATGGCACACAGCATCAGTTATTAAGGTCTACAATATGGGTACACGACATCAGGGATTAAGGTCTACACTATGGTACACAGGATCAGTTATTAAGGTCTACACTATGATACACAGCATCAGTTATTAAGGTCTACATTATGGGTACACAGTATCAGTGATTAAGGTCTACACTATGAGTACACAGCATCAGTGAGTAAGGTCTACACTATGGGTACACGACATCAGTTATTAAGGTCTACACTATGGTACACAACATCAGTTATTAAGGTCTACTCTATGGTACACAGTATCAGTTATTAAGGCCTACACTATGGGACACAGCCACAGTTATTAAGGTCTACACTATGGTACACGACATCAGTTATTAAGGTTTACACTATTGTACACAGCATCAGTTATTAAGGTCTACCTTATGATACACAGCATCAGTTATTTAAGGTCTACACTATGGGTACACAGTATCAGTTATTAAGGTCTACACTATTGGTACACAGCATCAGTTATTAAGGCCTACACTATGGGACACAGCCACAGTTATTAAGGTCTACACTATGGTACACAACATCAGGGATTAAGGTCTACACTATGGTACACGACATCAGGTATTAAGGTTTACACTATGGTACACAGCCACAGTTATTAAGGTCTATGCTATGGTACACAGCATCAGTTATTAAGGCCTACACTATGGTACACAGTATCAGTTATTGAGGTCTACACTATGATACACAGCATCAGTTATTAAGGTCTACCTTATGATACACAGCATCAGTTATTTAAGGTCTACACTATGGGTACACAGTATCAGTTATTAAGGTCTACACTATGGTACACGACATCAGTTATTAAGGTCTACACTATGAGTACACAGTATCAGTTATTAAGGTCTACATTATGGTACACAGCATCAGTTATTAAGGCCTACACTATGGGACACAGCCACAGTTATTAAGGTCTACACTATGGTACACAGGATCAGTTATTAAGGTCTACACTATGAGTACACAGCATCATAGGTCTACACTATGGTACACAGCATCATAGGCCTACACTATGGTACACAACATCAGTTATTAAGGTCTACTCTATGGTACACAGTATCAGTTATTAAGGCCTACACTATGGGACACAGCCACAGTTATTAAGGTCTACACTATGGTACACGGCATCAGTTATTAAGGTCTACACTATGGGCACACGGCATCAGTTATTAAGGTCTATACTATGGTACACAGCATCATGTTATTAAGGTCTACACTATTGCACACAGCATCAGTTATTAAGGTCTACAATATGGGTACACGACATCAGGGATTAAGGTCTACACTATGGTACACGACATCAGTTATTAAGGTTTACACTATGGTACACAGCATCATAGGTCTACACTATGGTACACAACATCAGTTATTAAGGTCTACACTATGGTACACAGCATCATATGTCTACACTATGGTACACAGCCTTAGGGATTAAGGTCTACACAATGGGTACAGAGCATCAGGGATTATGTCTATATAATGGGTACAGAGCATAAGGGATTATGTCTACACTATGGGTACACGACATCAGGGATTAAGGTCTACACTATGGTACACAACATCAGGGATTAAGGTCTACACTATGGTACACAGCATCATATGTCTACACTATGGTACACAGCCTTAGGGATTAAGGTCTACACAATGGGTACAGAGCATCAGGGATTATGTCTATATAATGGGTACAGAGCATAAGGGATTATGTCTACACTATGGGTACACGACATCAGGGATTAAGGTCTACACAATGGGTACAGAGCATCAGGGATTATGTCTATATTATGGGTACAGACCATCAGGGATTATGTCTATACTATGGTACACGGCATCAGTGGTTAAGGTCTATAATATGGGTACACAGCATCAGTTATTAAGGTCTACACTATGGTACATAGTATCAGTTATTAGGGTCTACAATATGGGTACAAAGCATCAGTTATTAAGGTCTACATTATGGGTACACAGTATATCAGTGATGTAGGTCTACAATATGGGTACACAGTATATCAGAGATGTAGGTCTACAATATGGGTACACAGCAAAGAGGATAAAGGTCTACACTATGATACACAGCATCAGTTATTAAGGTCTACACTATGAGTACACAGCATCAGTGATTAAGGTCTACACTATGAGTACACAGCATCAGTGATTAAGGTCTACACTATGAGTACACAGTATCAGTTATTAAGGTCTACATTATGGGTACACAGTATCAGTGATTAAGGTCTACACTATGGGTACACAGCATCAGTGATTAAGGTCTACACTATGAGTACACAGCATCAGTGATTAAGGTCTACACTATGAGTACACAGCATCAGTGATTAAGGTCTACACTATGGTACACATCATCAGTGATTAAGGTCTACGCTATGGGTACACAGCATCAGTTATTAAGGTGTACACTATGGGTACACAGCATCAGTTATTAAGGTCTACACTATGGGTACACAGCATCAGGCAGTAAGGTCTACACTATGAGTACACAGTATCAGTTATTAAGATCTACACTATGGGTACACGACATCAGTTATTAAGGTCTACACTATGAGTACACAGCATCAGGCAGTAAGGTCTACACTATGGTACACGACATCAGTTATTAAGGTCTACACTATGAGTACACAGCGTCAGTGATTAAGGTCTACACTATGAGTACACAGCATCAGTGAGTAAGGTCTACACCATGGGTACACAGCATCAAGGATTAAGGTCTACGCTATGAGTACACTTAATTTTATTTACACATTAACCACAAAAACGGCACATAACTTCATTTACCCAAACAAACAAAACTTGAACTGTAATCATTGTAGATATTTTAGTATGCATCCAATAAACCAGAATCCAAACTCTGATTTTGTTGTTTGCAGTCTTGATATTTTAATAGTGTACGTTATGTAATGTGATACTATCTTGGTTGTGTGTTTGTTTTAAGTGGCAATAAGTTTTTGGTAGTGCGGATTATACATTGTGACAACTTATTCGTGGTGTGTTTTGTGATAATTTATTGGTTGTATTTATTTTGTGTTGTGGTAAGTTAATGTAAGTGTGTGCAATGTTTTGTGTTAACTAATTGGTATTTCGTGTTATGTGTTAACTTATCGGTAGTTCGTGATATGTGTTAAGCTATTGGTAGTTCGTGCTATATGTTAACTTATCGGTAGTTCGTGATATGTGCTATGTTATTGGTAGTTCGTGCTGTGTGTTAACTTATAGGTAGTTCGTGTTATGTGCTATGTTATTGGTAGTTCGTGTTATGTGTTAACTTATTGGTAGTTTATGCTATATGGCAACTTATTGGTAGTTGGTGCTTTGTGCTAACTTATCTGTAGTTCGTGATATGTGCTATTGTATCGGTAGTTCGTGCTATGTGTTAACTTATTTGTAGTTCGTGCTATGTGTTAACTTATCGGTAGTTCGTGCTATATGTTAACTTATCGGTAGTTCGTGATATGTGTTAACTTATTGGTAGTTCGTGCTACATGTTAACTTATCGGAAGTTCGTGATATGTGTTAACTTATTGGTAGTTCGTGCTACATGTTAACTTATCGGTAGTTCGTGCTATATGTGTTCAGTTATTGGTAGTTCTTGATGTGTGTTAACTTATCGGTAGTTCGTGCTATATGTGTTCAGTTATTGGTAGTTCTTGATGTGTGTTAACTTATCGGTAGTTCGTGATATGTGTTAAGTTATTGGTAGTTCGTGCTATATCTAGTTCGTGCTATATGTTAACTTATTGGTAGTTCGTGCTACATGTTAACTTATCGGTAGTTCGTGCTACATGTTACTTATTGGTAGTTGGTGCTTTGTGCTAACTTATCTGTAGTTCGTGATATGTGCTATTGTATCGGTAGTTCGTGCTATGCGTTAACTTATTTGTAGTTCGTGCTATGTGTTATCTTATCGGTAGTTCGTGCTACATGTTACTTATTGGTAGTTGGTGCTTTGTGCTAACTTATCTGTAGTTCGTGATATGTGCTATTGTATCGGTAGTTCGTGCTATGTGTTAGCTTATTTGTAGTTCGTGCTATGTGTTATCTTATCGGTAGTTCGTGCTACATGTTACTTATTGGTAGTTGGTGCTTTGTGCTAACTTATCTGTAGTTCGTGATATGTGCTTTTGTATCGGTAGTTCGTGCTATGTGTTAGCTTATTTGTAGTTCGTGCTATGTGTTATCTTATCGGTAGTTCGTGCTACATGTTACTTATTGGTAGTTGGTGCTTTGTGCTAACTTATCTGTAGTTCGTGATATGTGCTATTGTATCGGTAGTTCGTGCTATGCGTTAACTTATTTGTAGTTCGTGCTATGTGTTAACTTATCGGTAGTTCGTGCTACATGTTACTTATTGGTAGTTGGTGCTTTGTGCTAACTTATCTGTAGTTCGTGATATGTGCTATTGTATCGGTAGTTCGAGCTATGTGTTAACTTATTTGTAGTTCGTGCTATGTGTTATCTTATCGGTAGTTCGTGCTACATGTTACTTATTGGTAGTTGGTGCTTTGTGCTAACTTATCTGTAGTTCGTGATATGTGCTATTGTATCGGTAGTTCGTGCTATGTGTTAGCTTATTTGTAGTTCGTGCTATGTGTTATCTTATCGGTAGTTCGTGCTACATGTTAACTTATCGGTAGTTCGTGCTATATGTGTTAAGTTATTGGTAGTTCGTGCTATATCTAGTTCGTGCTATATGTTAACTTATTGGTAGTTCGTGCTACATGTTAACTTATTGGTAGTTCGTGCTACATGTTAACTTATTGGTAGTTCGTGCTATATGTTAACTTATCGGTAGTTCGCGATATGTGTTCAGTTATTGGTAGTTCTTGATGTGTGTTAACTTATCGGTATATGTTAAGTTATCGGTAGTTCGTGCTATATGTTAACTTATCGGTAGTTCGTGCTATGTGTTAGCTTATTTGTAGTTCGTGCTATGTGTTAACTTATCGGTAGTTCGTGCTATATGTGTTAAGTTATTGGTAGTTCGTGCTATATCTAGTTCGTGCTATATGTTAACTTATTGGTAGTTCGTGCTACATGTTAACTTATCGGTAGTTCGTGCTATATGTTAACTTATCGGTAGTTCGTGATATGTGTTAAGTTATTGGTAGTTCGTGCTATATCTAGTTCGTGCTATATGTTAACTTATCGGTAGTTCGTGCTATATGTGTTAAGTTATTGGTAGTTCGTGCTATATCTAGTTCGTGCTATATGTTAACTTATCGGTAGTTCGCGATATGTGTTAAGGATCTACTCTTCTGAGGTTTCAGTCACGTTCAAGTCTCGTTTTGATCTGGTGTAACGGGTTTTTGTAATATTTAACAAATTATGATATAATAGCAAACAAACATCTGAAAAACATGTAAAAAAAACTAGATGTCTGTTGCGTGTAGAACATTTTTTACAAGAATTTTTAAAAAATGACCAATTTGGCGGCCATTTTGAAAAAGTGTATTTATGTGAATTTCTTGTGCTTCACAAAGGGCCAAAATTCTCGTTTTTTGACACTAGATGGATCACTTAAATTGTCATTGTGTCAACATTTTTAATTGTAGCAAGTTCAATTTTGCTGTACAACTTTATAATGTTCAATATGATTAAAATAATATGCAAAAAAGTGGAAAGTTATATATATTTGATAATTTTTTTCGTATTAGGGTAACTTAAGCACTTTTGATTTTTGACCCCGAAAAAGGTGAAAAATAACACAAATAATAATGGGACAAAAAAAGAAGCACACCGACCCCCCATTTTTGTGGCTGTTTTCGAAAGAGAAACACATTTTCTTTTGATTCATTGAATACTAAAAAAAGTTTATTTCAGAATTTTTTTATATCAAGCGTTTAATCGGCAAAAAATGGTGAAAAATGTGCATTTTTTCATTAAAAAATATGGGGTAGGGGTAACTAAAATCGCATTTTTTAATTAAAAAGAATAAGTTTAAGACATTCTACTTCCATAGTTTCAAAGAAAATAATATTTTTATCAATACTACATACATTCATACATATCTGATAACACACTTGGAAGAAATTGTATGAATTTGTTCTGCAAATGGTCAAAACCTGAAAACTCACCTAAAATCACCGATTGTGTAAAATTGGTATATTTGACCGATCATAGCACAAAAACGAACACACCGACATATAGTTTTTTTTTGCATTTTCTACTATGCCATTATCTCCTTTTTCCAAAAATCAATATAAGAAAAAAAGTTTAATACAGGATTTTTTTGACTTCTCAGAGGAGTACATCCTTAAGTTACTGGTAGTTCGTGCTATATGTTAACTTATCGGTAGTTCGCGATATGTGTTCAGTTATTGGTAGTTCGTGATATATGTTAACTTATCGGTAGTTCGTGATATGTGTTAACTTATCGATAGTTCGTGCTACATGTTACATGTAACTTATTGGTAGTTCGTGCTGTGTGTTAACTTATCGGTAGTTTTTAATATGTGTTAACTTATCGGTAGTTCGTGATATGTGTTAAGTTATTGGTAGTTCGTGCTATATCTTAACTTATCGGTAGTTCGCGCTGTGTGTTAACTTATCGGTAGTTCGCGATATGTGTTAAGTTACTGGTAGTTCGTGCTATATGTTAACTTATCGGTAGTTCGTGATATGTGTTCAGTTATTGGTAGTTCTTGATGTGTGTTAACTTATCGGTAGTTCGTGCTATATGTTAACTTATCGGTAGTTCGTGCTACATGTTAACTTATTGGTAGTTCGTGCTGTGTGTTAACTTATCGGTAGTTCTTGATATGTGTTAACTTATCGGTAGTTCGTGATATGTGTTAAGTTATTGGTAGTTCGTGCTATATCTTAACTTATTGGTAGTTCGTGCTGTGTGTTAACTTATTGGTAGTTCGTGCTATATTTTAACTTATTGGTAGTTCGTGCTATGTGTTAACTTATTGGTAGTTCGTGATATGTGTTAAGTTATTGGAAGTTTGTGCTTTATGTTAACTTATTTGTAGTTCATGCTATATGTTAACTTATTGGTAGTTTGTGCTATGTGTTAACTTATTGGTAGTTTGTGCTATATTTTAACTTATTGGTAGTTCGTGCTTTGTGCGGTGATAACAAATAGGAAGTGTGTGATAAGTTATCGGTATTGAGCGTTCAGATTCAGACCATACAGTGTTATTTCATTATAAATATACAGCAAGTTACAATGAAATGCATTATAATCGAGTATAACATGTACTTACTGTTGTGGATTATGTGCGGTGGTGTCAGGACCCACATCTGTCAGATCTATAGATAGCCAGCGTATGATCAAGGCTATCCGTTACACCAGCTACACAGAGCCGTAGTATTGACTATTGATATGCATAATATACGCATTTTGGAATTGTTTGATTGTCTATTACATGTACCTGTTGAACTAGTAACATACGAGGTGGAGCTATATCATACAGGTAGTAACAAAACCCAGCATATACATACACAATAATAACAATAACTATATTGTTGTGAATTCTTGATACATACAGTTTACACTCTTTGTACATGCGGGGATGCATTTTATTTAGCTGATTCACAAAGTATGCATCAGTTCACACACCACATAGACTTCCATTGTCCGCACTGCCGCGGTTATTACACTGCTTATGCATCATTTAAGTTACGCGTATTAAACGAACCTTGTAAGCTCAGATTCAGCGGCCACATTTAACCACACTGTCGTCATTATTAATGAGACATATATCACCTTAATTAATGCCCGCCACAGTCAAGCTCTTCTACATCAAGACCCATTGTATTCATGTTTTACCAACACAGCCCAGTCATCCCGCACAAAAATAATCCAAGTATCAATTAAACTATCAACAAAAATTCAAACGGAATTTATTTCTGTTTTTTTTCTTGTTGATGAACTTCTGTATTATAAGGTTATACAGTCTACCGAAATCAACCTTGATTTCTTTTCTTCTTTGGGATCAAAAAAATAACTAAAATTACACATCTAGAGTACAACATTTACATCCTGTATAGCATTGAGTATGTGAAATATGACAAGACTAAAACACTTTAAAGATTTGCCAGACAGTTGCATACTAATGTTTTGCATTTAAACAATATTGAATAATTGATATGGTCGATAGCATCATCGAAATGAAAATAGTTGCATTTTAACACTATGAGCTAATCTCAAAAGCAATGTCGGTTTAGCGTTAACTCATAGAATATAGTATTGGTATTTAATTTTTATATGCGACTAGGCTATTTAGTTCAAATCGATTGGAAAACCTAATTTTGTAACTTTTTTGAATTTTGAAATAGTAAAAACAAAGGCGTACAAGCATTAACTATTCTCTTCTGTAAATGAATCATTTACTAGGAATGTCACTTCTGATAAAAATATTGACAAATGGTGAAAAAGTCACACCGTGCAACTTGGTTTGAAGAAGAAAGCCATGGTTTAGTATATAATTGGTGTTCTAATTGTATAGTTTTTGTCCAATTACAAAACAAGTTGGCCAGATATGTCGTTTAACGGACGTAAAAACTGATAATACTGGCACACCTATTAACACGATCGGCAAATCCCACAAACGTTATTGTACAAAAATGTCTTACTTAAATCAACTAATGAGATCTACCTTATCACTAGTACTAAATGACACGTGCTGTATGTCGGGGAGACCACATCGCCACTTAGGGATTCCCGACCCACTGCTTAAAACTGTATAACTATGTATTGGAAGCGACTTCTTTATCTTTGATAAATCATTCCTGAAAAGAAAACATACCTTATGGAACTTTTATGAGAAACAATAAAGAAGTAATAAACAAAACATAATCAACAACAGTGTTCTGAGTGTAAAAGACCGGGATTCGAACCCAGGACTTCAGATGGTTATACTATCGCTCTAACCGATTGAGCGACCTGTCCAACGGAAATGTCCAGGCCAAACTGTGTATGATGCAAAAGGAAGATAAGGGAAGGTTACTGTGTACAGGAAAAACTACTACACAATATATTTTTGGAGGGGAGCATTCCAAACTGATTAACCCACAATTTAAAAATATATTTCATTTATACATTGCAAGAACAAAGTAAACACAGTGTATATAATTGTATATATTCATATATTTGTGAACATACAGTAAATAGGTATGGTTCATACAATGTAAATATGTTTTCATGTGTACACATTATACACGTAGATATATTTGGTACTTCTTTGCACAATTACTGATGACTTGTACAGAGTAAAATCTCGAATTGACAAAACAATAACGCAAATGGAAAATATTTATGTGAACAATATTGGTTCACAATAGCAGTTTTTGGTTCACAGTATCAGTATTTGCTTCACGTTACAGCATTGCTAAACATATATGTCTGGTATTAAGCGAGATATCAACATACCTAGCGAAATTGATGTTCGGTAGAGCTAGCGATTAACATGTTAGTTACTCGCGTGAAGTTGTCAGATATTAGATGGTGTATAAGTTGTGGTATTGTTATGAGTAGATAAGTAGAATCCACCAGCTAATAAAGACGACCGAAAGAAGTGATAACATATCAACATTCTCGCCTAGACTGTGAGATGATATTTCATTCGCTACGCAGTGATATGTACATTAAAGATTCTGTGTGTACAAATACATTACAATTCCAGAACAACCAAATAAAAATGTCAATATTTCAATATTTTGTAAATCTACTTTACTTAATAACAGTTTACCCTCCATTTCAGCAACTTTTTGTGTTATGTCGGCAGAACTTTAACCTTTGAACGAGATTCCCGAATGAAGGGAGATAACTTAATCCTACTGACGGGAGCTTAGGGTGACACCATACTACAGATATCTAAGATATTTCGGCTCGTTATTAACTAAATTTTCATCTCACCCCCATCCTGAGATTAAAATGAAACTATAGGTTATATCGAAATGAAGCAGGATCATTTCCGTATTAATCGATCCATTAGGCTTCGTTAGTTTGTGAGAAATATATTTTGACGAAAGGACATGGTATGTCGTTTGGCATAAGATCATAGATTTTACTTACTGTGGTAAGACCAGTCAGCGGTTCCCAGCGCTCTGATCTGCATCTCCAACGAAGAAGAGCTCCATTTCTCTAACATTATTACAACAACCATGAAACAAGTTCTACCATACCCATGTCAATTACTCTGGTTTACCCGGATGGTAGCGCGCCATATATTAACAGAAATTTTACATGAAATATTTTCTTTATGTCTGTATACAAGAGAAAAGTAGATGGGCTTTTTACCTTAAATCTTGATCACGATAAAGATCTGTTTTACGTGACCGTTTATCTTTGGTATGAATCTCTGTACAGCTTCTAAATCGAACATATTAGTTTCCGTTGATCATCGCGGTCATATTTTAGGCTTCGAAAGACGTGTATCAAGGTTATTTCACCGGTAACAAAGACGTTCTGAGCTTACATTTTTGTACGCTGGGCTATGATTGATAGTATGTAACATTGTAGAGGTAACGTGTACTGTCAGGGACAACAGTCAGACAATGTATTGTTTACAAGATGTCTGGGAGTCTTGACATGACCAAAACGATCGTGCGATATTGAAAAAAAACCACATACAGCACGACCGTGTGACTATGATCACTTATGACAGTGTGATCTTAAATTACCCCTATCAAGGACGTGTGACTTTTACAAAACCCAGATTCAGGACCGTGTGACCTTGATTTAACATCTATGGGACATGCCAACGACATCGATCACGAAACGTCCAACCGGAAACCACGTACAAGTGTCATCTTGACTTGAACCATAGATCGTATGACCATTATACCATTGAATTGACGACCCCTCCACCGCCCCCCTCCCCCCCTCGAATCGACTACGTAACATTGACTTGACGGGCCGTGTGACCTTTACACGATCATTTGACCTTGACATAATCCTGTGGATTCTGATGCCAACTTTCATATGTTTATTTGTAATCAAAGAATCACACACAGATCTAGCTGGTGCTAGCTGATGTTATGACTATGTTCGCGATCTGGTATCGTAGATAATATCAACACGCTCCTTTACTTACCATAAGGCTTGTATTCGTCTATAGGATTAGTCAGTGTTTGTGTGTGTAAGATACCGGAGAAACTAACTTAACCTTTGTGTCAAGTCACAGAAATACAAGCAGTCGAGAATGTAATCAGAACTGCAGCAGCGTACACGTAACGCACGTGTGCGCGGGCGCGCGTATGTATAGCATGTATCCTCCCACTCGGTATACAGCTGGAGAGGTTAGACGGTAGAAAATCTTTATAAACATGTCGGTAGTAACTTTTATTGATGGGCATGTCGGAATAAAGGTGTAGAGGTTGAAACAGGGTAGTGCCATGGATAAAAAAATGGTGTATGAAGGGTGACAGAGGAGGATAACGTCATCTTGGGAGGGAAAAGGAATGGTGACGCCAACTTGGGAGGAAAAAGGAGGGTTACGTCAGCTGGGGAGAGGAAAAGGAGGGTAACATCAGCTGGGGAGTGGAAAATGGAGGTAACATCAGCTGGGGAAGGGAAAAGGGAGGTATCATCAGCTGGTAAGTGGAAAAGGGAGTTAACATAAGCTGGGGAGGGGAAATGATGGTAGCGTCAGCTGGGGAGGGAAAAAGGAGGAAACATCAGCTGGGGAAGGGAAAAGGGAGGCATCATCAGCTGGCAAGTGGAAAAGGGAGTTAACATCAGCTGGGGAGGGGAAAAGGGAGGTAACATAAGCTGGGGAGGGGAAATGATGGTAGCGTCAGCTGGGGAGGGAAAAAGGAGGAAACATCAGCTGGGGAGCGCAAAAGGGAGGGTAACGTCAGCTTGGGAGGAGATACCAAGGAGGGTATCGTCAGCAGGGGAAGGGGAGGTAGAGAAGGAAAACGTCAGTTTGGGAGGGGAAATGGAGGGTATAACATCAGCAGGGGAGGTATTGCCGAGGAGGGTAACATCACGGCTGGGGAGGGGAACAGGAGGGTAGCATTAGCTTTAGGGATACAGAGGAGGCTAATGCCAGCTGGGGAGGGGGATACACAGAGAGCGGTAAGTAGACACTCGTGTCTTGCACGCGCCTCCCTTCCTCACTAATTAGTACAACACTCGACAGCGCTGGAGTCCCGTCTGTACTTCCGCTCAACAATACACTTATGTGAGGCATTTCCGTATACCATACAATCAAAGGAATGTCGTCACTACGACACCCCATACGTACAATATCAACATATATCTCCAGCACAAACAGCTATCCTTAAAATACCACAGACAACCAACAGGTAACCTACTGGTGTATACCTTCACCATTAATGTGCATAAGCCGCCACCGCGTAATCCAACAATATACAGTGTACATATGTGGGACTCCAGTACAGACGTCCGCAACGTAATCCAACGGTACGGACTTCCTCCTCGTAATCCAGCAGTGCAGATATT